CCCCCCCCCCCCCCCCCCCCCGCCCTTGCTATGCTTCTTGGCTGGTCGATCGTGACTGCATTTCATAGAGCACTGTGTGAACAATGAGCAGACAATAGAACATTCTGATCGACTCACTGGATCGCATGGAGGACAGTGCGATTGTCAAACAGTAAAAAGACAATCATGGAAATTCCGATCACTGAATCGTGACCAGATCAGTGATCGTCTTGACTGGAGGGTATGAGAAATATTGGGATTTTCTCAAGCAATGAAAAGACTATCATGGAAAGTCACAATCACTGGATCGCGACTGGAAGGCATGGAGAACAGTGAGATTTTCAAAACAAGGAATAGACAATGGAAACAATGGAACATTCCGATCACTGGATCATAACTGGATGACATGGAGAGCAATGTGAATCTCAAACAACGGAATCAAGATTCCGTTTACTGGATCGTTACTAGATGACATGGAGAAGAATGGGATCTTTAAACAGTGACAAGACAATGGAACATTTCGATCACTGAATCGTGTATGGAAAGCAGGTATGGAGAACAGTGGGATTCTCAGAACAATGATTAAGACACTGGAACATTCTGATGACTGGATGGCATGGAGAACAGTGGGATTCTCAAACAATGTGAGACCACTGGATCATGACTGGATGGCATGGAGTGAGATTTTCAAAACAGTGCAAAGACAATATTATGGAACATTCCGCCCACTGGTTCGTGACTGGAAGGCATTGAGAACAGTGAGATTTTCAAACAATGAAAAGACAATGGAATATTCCGATCACAGCGACGTTGCTGGATGGCATGGAAAACAGAGGAATTTTCAGAACAATGAAAAGACAATGGAACATTCCATCACTGAAAGAGTCAGGATCGTGATCGGAAGATATGGAGAAAAGTTGGATTCTCAAACAATGAAACGACAATGGAACATTCTGGTAACTGGATGGCATGGAGAACAGTGGGATTCTCAAACAATATGACTGGGATGCATTGAAAACACTGAGATTTTCAAACAATGAAAAGACAATGGAATGTTCCGAGACTTCCGATCAGTTGGCGATCACTGACACCGGATCATGATTGGATGGCATGAAGAAAACTAGAAAAGGGAGATTTCAAAATTAATTTTGAAAAGACAGTGGAACATTCCGGGGGCTGCATCGTAGGAATGGAATGGAAAATAGTGGAATTTTCAAAACAATATAAGAAGACACGGAATATTCCGATCACTGGATCGTCCCTGGATGGTGCCCCTTTTGGGCGATGTGTTTTACTGCTTTACATGTAACAATTTAATTAGAAATTGAAATAAAAAATGGCCACATCGTTCTAGTAAATATTTTTTGAAAAGAAAACTTGATCATTCATCGTGCTTATCAGTTTCTCATCGACAAATTTTACACAAGATTGGTTGATTTTGAAATCATACTGTAGGTATAGAATTCGTAAAACACCTGCAGTTTTATAGCGTTTGGTATCCTTGGAAACAAGCAAGTAGTTTATTTGTTTGGAAACATTTTTTTTTTTATTTCTGTGATATCTTTGCAAAAATTCGATACTCTAAGCATCGAAAATGCTTGGCACAATTCAAATAACAGGCGAAGATCTGAACGACGTTGAAATCAATGATATTTGTAATTCTCTAAGAAACGGTTCAGTCCGTTTGCTGTCTTTGAGAGGCTGTCATATGGACGATGCTAACTTCAAACGTATTTCAGATTCGTTGAAGACCAACGCTTCTTTAGTTCAATTGAACTTTAGTTTGGGAGTTTTGAGCAATAAACAAAGGATAAAATGGTTGTCCGATGCCTTGAAACACAATAAGAATCTGTCATCATTACAGTAAGTACTTTCTGGTGAATGATGTATTATATTAACCCATTAAGCTGCCATGCGCTATATGTGGCCCTGTTAGGGTAAATTAATTTGTGTTGAAATGGCGACTTATAGAAAAGAATTGAAAACAACGACATTTTAACACAGACTCTGTGTAAATTGTGGCTGCGACATGAAACGATCCTAAAAGCAACATAGAAATTGGCAACATTCTCATGCATGCCATATGCAAGTAGCAATATTAATTGTTTTGAAAATCAGACAAGCAGCATTCTGCATATACCCACCTTATCAGGGCTAATAATTCATTGTCCAATAAATTTGTGTGGTTCGAACCGTTTGGTTAGAATTTCAAGAAAAAGATTTAATTTGAAAGGAGGGGGTGAATAGGGGTACACAAATCCACCGATCCGCCCAAATTTGAAGTCCGCCGTCCGACAATGGTCTTGTCTAAATTTGAATCCGCTAAAAGCTCTACTATGAAGTCACAATCCAGGATCCGAACTAAATTGCAAGCAAAATCCACAATTCGGCGGAATCCGACGATCCAAAAA